GAATAGTGAAGGTAAAAACGACAAAATATCTACTCACCTACACCATTTTTGAGTTAAGTGGGAGTTAGCTGGACATAAACAGTAAATCTGGGTGCAAAGAAAAAACACCCATCAGGTTCGCCTAAATGGCAACGAATTCCTGAACTCCCAATTCGTAAACTACCCAGAGCTTATTGGTACATCAGCAAATTTTGTGTAAAAAGGACGAAAAAATCATAGCCATATGCATTGGAAAGCCTATACTAGCATAGCAATTTGATGTTTTAAAGACCTTTACAAAACATGGTACTGTAAAACAACTTGAAAGAGAACTCAGACCTATCCTTCTGAGGCTCAGTTCCATTAACTGGATTGCCCTAGGATTGGAGAAGTTCAATGTGGCACATTAGAGAGGAGAGGGGAAATATAAGCATAAATGCACAAAACATGAAGACAAAATAGGGAGGTAAAGGACCCACTTCCTTTAACTCCGCAATCTCTACAATTCTTAATCTATCATTTTACCAATAGATTTACCTAACCAAGGTCATACACATTAGGAAAGTTGAGAGAAGCAGAAAAGGAAAAAGAAAAAAGGATAAAGGAATGATAGGTTCCACTTCAAACCCAACTGAACTCTAGAACAAAAAAACTCAATCGAACAAGACCATATGAAGGCAACTGACTGGAATATGCACTGGGCGGTAGGAGAGCGAGACAACGGTAGAGTCGCAGCCGAACAAGAGCGGAAGGCGCAGAGAGATGATTACCAAAGGTGCGCACAATGTCCGGCATCTGAGCAAGCAGGTTGAGTGCACACTCAAGTGGAGGCAGCAGACGCCGTGCTACGTTCTCACCAGCCATGGCTGGCGCGCAGTACTCAAGGAAAGCCTGCATTGAACACAGTGCTCCTGCTCGTGCTTCCAGCGTCACCTGTAGCCAAGAGAAGTATTTTAAGCAAATTTTAACTCACTTTCTCCCTAGGTGATTGACCACAGTAATGACATGAGTAGCTGTTAGTACCATTCATGCCACCGCCGTAGTATACCACATTTTCTTTTGAGGTAATTTCGAAATAAAAATAACACGAGGTTAGATGGATCCTTCTAGTCTTATTAAAAGTCAATCCATGCTAATGATGTTAGGGTGTGCATCGAGAATATCATGCCTCGTTGTGCAATTAGAGGCTGTCATAACACTTGAGTTCCCATTTCTTACGAGGAGATTCAATGAACTTGACCCTCATTGCTACAACCAAATATGTGCATTGAGAGCAGTAAACAAACCTGGACGGCAAAAAATCACAATCGAGTCACCCAACTGAATAGAAAGATTTGGATGATTTTCAGTACGTGTAGCATCCTTTACCCGGCCATACCTGAATAACAGTTGCAAATTTGTCAAGCTATAGAGTTTAAAAAATTTGATTTCTCGGAAAGTTAAAAATTATTGGCAACAAGACAGTGCACGTAGCACAAAATTGCAGTAACAATTTAGCGTCAACCACAAAAAAG